TTTCCATCTTTGTTTCTCATTTGTTCTCAAATTTATGAGTTAAATAATTTATGGTAATTTAATATTTTATATACAAATTCAATTGTTGTTAATTACTACAATATATTGAACATATTTTTTTTCCCCAACCCGTTACTTCTGACCGCAATCTACAATTCAAACCAGCTGTTTTAAATTAATAAATCTAAAAAAATAGTAAACAAAAAAATAGCAACTACTACAAATTAACATAATAAATATGAAATTAAAATATAAAATTACATTTGGACTCATCGTAATAGACAAGGTTTAAGTATCGAATTTAAAATATGCACAATGTACAATCAATATTTTTTAAACCTAAACTTATTTAAGATTTAATAATTGTAATATTACAAAACTATTGAATTTTATGTAAAATTAAGAATGATTTGAAACAAAACTCTTTGCTAAATGGAAATTATCAGAAAACTTTGAGGTAAAAGGAAAATACCTAATTATTAAAACCGATTGCAATGTATTTAAAAGAATTACAAAGAATCGAGATAGTAAATATTAAATGTTTTTTTTTTTGTGTAAGGAAAATAAATAATTTTAATTTAATGAATAAAGAATTAAATTATTCTTAGTTAACATTTTTATTTTAATAAAAAAATCATAAAATCAAGTATTTATTTTAAATGTGAAAGGAAAAAGCCCTTTCGTTTACACATTTTATATTGCTATTAATAAATCACATTAAAAATTTTAATGAAATAATGAAAATATTTGAATACATTAAATTCATACACAAATAAATGAAAAATAATTCAAGTGTAAAATTTGTAATTGTACGTAGTATTAAGTAAATAAATATGAACAGACAGACATCCCATTCATAATACAAATTGAATGAGTACAAAAATGTATAATATAAAATATCTTCAGGATATACTATGTATATACATAAATGTAAATGTCTAGCACAATTAACGATATTTTTTAATAATCTTATAAAAAAATAGTTAGTATTATTTGTAAGTTTTTTTTAATGAAATTGTACAAATTTGTAAGGAAAACATACATTCAGGAAGCCCATACTAATGTTGACTTTTAGTTCCTCAAATGTTAATAATATTTATGTACATACATACATATGTATGTATGTATATTGGTATGAACTTGTAAACGTACATATGAACAATATATGTAAGTAAGTACTCCTCTCATTTGGTATGAAAAGTACAAAATTTGTTGTGTAAGTTTACTGTTTTTGGCTGACATTTTGTTGACATTTTCATGTTTGTGTCGGTTTTACTTAGAGATGTGGATGATGGTGTTGAGGAAGATGATGAGTTTATGAATTTGTTCCCACCTTTATTTTATTTTAATAATTATGTGTGAAATTATTACGAAATGATTAAAAAGCTTAAAATGCTACTTGCTTAATTTTGTTGCCTCTTTTATTTTCGTTTGTTGCATTTATCATGCAAAGGCACCAAAAAAAAAACAATTATTTTTAAACATTTAATTTCCACCACAATTTATGGCATAAATTTAATTAATCAAAACAAACAAAAAAACATAGTAGTTTTAAGTGCATAATAAACCATATAAAAAGCAAAAACAACATTTTAAAAGGTTTTGTTTAAAATTATTTAATTTAAATTCAAATCGGAAACAAAAAGATAAAAATTTTAGTAGTATTTTTTATTATAACCCAGTTTTATATAGTTGTAGTTCAAATAAATATGACTCGGACAGTTAAATAAAGATTTGCATTAAGATTTGCTCAACTTTTTGCACAATATTTGAATTAATGAATAGATTTAAATATTTTTAAAAGTGTTTGTTAGTAATTCATAATACATAAAAGCGTACTACTTAAAATGTTTTTTAAAATGTCATATTTTCACACGCTTAAAAAAGTGAATTGTCATTTAAAATAAATTTACTTTTATTTAATTTTTCTTACTTCGATACACATTAATATTTATTTAAAAAAAGTCTCACAAAAAACTGCCCGTTTTTTATTTATTTGTTTAAATTTTATTTTTTGCGGCCACGCATCATAGAGAAGCATCGAATAGTGTAAATTTAAACAATAAAATAAAAAAGTAAAAGTTTATTTGAAAAGGTGCGTGTCGGTTTCGGGGGAATACTACTTATTTTAATAGTTTTTTGTGTTTCTGCGTTAGTAAAAGCCGTAAGTCATTAACTTGAAAAAAACTCGTAAAATAAATTCACAAAGAAACCCTTAATTATCATAAGAAATAGTAAAAATTTAGCTACATAATTGATAACCATAAAAGCTGGCAAAATTTTCTGATCAGTATTATTTATAATTTAAAAAATTGTTAACTTAGGCCTATAGCCTAGTGTGAGCACTTTTGGATTTCGCAAACCAAAATCAAAATTCAGGAAAGTTTTTTTTTTAGCTAGAATCTATACACAACTTTTTTTTAAATACTTTCAAAGCTGTAGTAAAAACTTTCGAATTTCATTAAATTTAAATTTAAAGCTCTAAAAACATCTTTCTCAATTAAGATAAAACAATGTAGTTTTATGCACTTGTTAATTAAATTTGCCAAAAGTTATTAAGTTGAACTGAAAAGCTTTATAACACATGAACTACATATTTCAATTTTTATTAACGTTTTTAATACTACAGTTGACCAACTTTGAAAGCCTTAAATCTAAATAGTTGCTTAAATTTATTATGCTCGCTTTTAAACACCATAAAGTTTTGCTTTTAATACTCATTTAATTTAATTTAATTTTCACTACAAAATTCTTGGCGTGAAACAATTTTTTCAAATGACATGACGTTTTTAGAGATTTTTTCATATATTTTTGGGGTAAATAGAAGAACAACCAACATAATAATTTCTAACCAAGTAGATTTTATTAAAACATTTGCGAACAAATGTAAATGTGTGAGATTGCGGTAAGTGTAAATGTTGTAGTGTTTGTAAATGGATATTCTGCAAGTGTAAACGTATCAAGTCGAATGAATGCTTTAACGCGTTGTTAATGGTGCAAACATTTAACAAGTACGAGTGCGATTTCGAGTATGAGTATGAGTAGTATTTGACATTTTATGTTCTAAACATGACATTTCAGCCGGTCGGGTTTGTTTGTTTGCAGTTACAACAGTTTATTTTATTTGCATTTGTTGTGTTGCGTTTTTGTTTTAAAAACCAACGTAAATAATTAGCTTCAATGACATTTTCTAGGAGAACAATAACGCGAGTTGTGTAAATTAAAGTTATTTGATTTAAAAAACTTTGAAGTACAGTGCAGTAAACTTACAAATGTTTAGCCTAAATTGAGATTTTAATGTGTTAGAACTGAAGTTTTTACAGCCATTTTTCTTTTTTATCCCCACTGTTGTAATTTTTAAGTACATATTCATATTTCTATAATTTAAATAATAATTTCACAAAAAATTTTCATAAAAAGTTTCAACTAGTTTTACCAGAATCACAACATTTTGTCGCCCTATTAAAGTTATATTAAAACTTTTTCTTTTTTTTATACTTTTTTAAGGTAACATGTGGGGAATACCACAAACTTTAAACTTTTTTACCGGCTTTTCAAATATTTCGTTACTTTAACGCCTGTTTTTTGTGAAAAATTTTTTGTTTTATTTTAGATCCTAAAATTTATTTGATTTTCTTTTATGGATTGCTAGCTTTTATTGTGTGAATACAAGAAATTTTACATTTGTCACGTTATTTTTTTTAAGTGAACTTTTATTTCATTTCGTTTCATTACAAATTAAGTTGACAAGTGTTTTAACACATGTCTTTTCATTGACACGCACAAAAATCTTTTAAATGATGGATAGTTAGACGGTTGAATGGATAAGTGGTTAAATGAATGAATGTGTTGTGTCGGATTCGAGTTAATTTTCATTTAATTTCGAATGAATGTGAAAACAAATTATTTTATAGTCTTTTAAACTATTTCTTATCACGTTATTTGATTTGGCATTAATTGTGAACAATAAAATATTTTATTTACTCTGGTCAAGCACAAACTATTTAGATTAAAAAATATATTAATATTTTGCAGATTTTTATAACATATTAAAAATATTTACTTACATACATACTGAAAAGCCTAAATCGATATCTATCAATAATTTGCAAAATAGTTATAGGTGGTATATTGAATGTTTTACAAAAATCCAATTAATCCAATTATAAAATAAAATTCATTAGGAAGACTTTGTAAAATTCAAAAATAATTTCATACTTTATAGTGTAAAATAAAATTTATATTCTCAAAACTTTTAAAACTGTTTTGTATCCCATTTATTCGAAGCACATAGACCGAAAACAGCCATAAACAATCATCATTCAAAACACACAATTCATTAAATTATCAAATCAATTTAACTCCGACTATTTTAAATGTGTGTCGGTCGGCGAACACAAATTGATTTGATGTGTTAATTTGTGATAATAAAAATATGATTTTTAAATAAAAACATACATAAATAAAAATTAAATTATAAATTTACATTAGAACACAATAGACGTATGTAATTCCATACAAACGAAAAACATAAAGAAAAGTGAAAAGAGAAATAATAAAATACCGCAACCAAAGTGTGAAATTTTCTTTTATTAAAAATTGGTTCAATTTCTTATTTTTTTCTATTTAAAAAAACTAATCCTTAAAAATACACAAAAAACTAATACAAAAACAAATTACGAAATTTTAAATTGAAGAGGGAAGACCGGATACAAAAACCATGAAAGCTTTTGATTTATTATATTTTGCAAATTAAACAAAATTAAGTTAAAAAAATAAAATTTAGTTAAGCTTTCACTTGGAAACATAAAATATCCAATAAATGTACGAGATAGATAGACGGATGAATGAAATAAAGTGGCTGCCAGTATGGCTGGGAAGTATTTATATGTAGCTGGGTGTTGCTATACAATTATACAATTCTCTTTAATCTTTTCAGATATGCAGTGTGTTATATAAAATCTAAGGTCATTATAAATATTTATTAGTTGACAACTTACCTTTAAGTGGAGTTTTACCCGATGTCGATTTAACATCTAAACGTTTGGTATGAAGATTAAACTTTTTTGGTGGTGGTGAACCTTTAATGCTGGTTGTGCTACCTCCAGTTGGTGTGCTAGCTGTGGTAGATGTTGTTGAAGGCGATGTTGAAGAAGTACTTTGAACATTAGAAGTAAAACGTTTTTCTACAAATAAAAAAAAAATGAGACAAGCTATTTTAATAAAGTTGCCAAAAGTAAAGCATATTTTAGGGAGTGTTATGAAAATTACAATATAAGAAAAAATGTATATACACATTTCAGTTTGTATAGAAACATGTTATTAATTTAATGTATATACATATACATTTCAATAAACAAAATCAATCGTTTGATGGCGTTTCGCATGTTTTGTGATACAGTATGTTGGTGTGTTTAAAAATGCTCTTCTTATTTATGTATATCTTTTGTTATTACTTACGTCTATAACTTCTAAATGCCGCTGATAAATAAGCTAAACATGACATAACAAAATTCTTATTAAAAATTCACACTTTTAGAATAAAATATATTGAAAATGTCTTAAAATTTTTATTAATTATCTGAATATCCTGATATTACACTAAAATTTTGCTTCGAAAATTTGCCAATAATACGGAAATCCGAACAAAGCTTTAAATATGTTGTTTATTTTTCTTTTTGATTTTTTTCTAACAACACATATGTATGTATTTGTTTGACAAATAATTTATTAGGAATTTATAGAATTTAGACAAAAGGTTTACAAAGTTCAATAACAAAACAAGTAAGAAATTATAGTCGGTCGAGGCCGACAGAAAATGTGATTTGTTTTCATAATAAAGCATTTAAGTTGATTTGTACCTTGCCTCTGATATATTTAACCAATTTGTTGTTGAAAAACTAATTTTCTAAAAGAGGCTTTATTTGGGGGCTGGGGGAAATATGAGTCGACCATCAAAAAAATTTTTTGATGAATTTCATTGTGGTACATATTAGTATTTTTGAGCAAATTGAGGACATCTAAGCTATTTTTTTAAGGGAACTTTATATGGGGGCTGGGGTCAAAAGAGGACCGATTATTACAAAATTCATCAGGATATAAAAGGCTAGTATAAAACTTAGTTTTGCTTCTTTTTGTCGAGATACGAGTATATTAAACATAATTATGTCTAGGTGAATTAATGGACCGATGTTAACCGTTTTCAATAGACTTCGTCCCTGATATTTCAATATTTATAATACAATCATCTTTTTTTTCAAATTCCAGTATAATTGCCGCTGAAAATTAAACTTTTTATTTTACCTTATCAAAACCTACGCATATTAGCCATCTTAATGAGTTGAAGATGATGTTATGATATGCAATAGAAAAAAACCAATCCACATTTTCAAAACCAACTGACTACATTGAATTTATTGCCCCACAAATTGTAAACACAAATTAACATCATAATAATATTCATCATCATGACCATCATCAGCAACCTATTCAACTTTTCATTTAACACCTAAATGTCAAAGACCTGCCAACCACAGCTAACCATATGAGTATCCAACACTATCATCATCATCATCCGCAACCACATCCATTGTCATTATCATCATGAGTGACCATCTTCAGTATCATGCATCATGGTCGTCATAGTGGTTGGTCATCTTGAATGGAATGGTATGTGGAGTTGTTGTTGGGATTTTACTATGAAAGTGTCATTAAAAATGTCTTTACCCACTACTTAATAATAAAAAGTGGTGCTGCTGCTGTTAATGTTGCTAAAATGAAATTGATGCGTTTACGTTAAAAAATCTCTTCCGTCTTGAACGAAACAAAACCAGTTTAAATGTACACGATGATGTTTATTTTATTCATTTTGACCAAATTTAGAAGACCAGGTTAACGTTAGTGCATCAAATAGCGCATTGCTCTTTTTATGTTTTGTTTTGGTCTTAGTAAAGCAGCTGCTTTTTTCATTTTGTTTAACGTCTGTGCACTTGGGTAGAGATATCATATCACAAAACTGCTCTACACAGTACACTATCAACATAGAAACACCTGTTATCCTGTAAAGAAATATGCATGAATGTATCAAGAATGGAAAAGAGTCGAATGCATTCTGGTTGGTGGTGTGGTAAGTCAGAAAAACATGTTGTTACTTTAACAAGATCTAAAAAGCAAAATAATTAACGTAATATGAAAATAAATTACTGATCATTTATAAAATTTAGAGAGATATTTAACTGAAATTAATTCGCTCTTTAATATACTCTTCATAAAGAGTAATATTGCTGTTCAATTTGAACGGTAACATGTTGGTGTGTACAAAATATTATTATTGAGAGATGCCAACTGTTTATCTGGTAAATTTTCAAAATTAGAAAATAGAAATCAATTTCTAAAAGAAAAATACAAACAAATTTTGATTTCTAATAAGCAACACAGAATTTAGTCAGATATCAAAAATAATAAAGAAGCTTTAGTTATGGTAAGAATTTCTGAACATTCTAATAAAATTTCACAAATAGTTATGTTTAAGAATAAGATCTCTCTTAGCAAGTGGTTTAAATGTAAATAATTTAAACATCTCTTTATATAAGCAACATAAATTTGTGAAGAGCATGAAAATATTCTCAAAAAATATATTTTGAAATGTTCAGTCTCTTAAATATTATCATGTTTGTTTATTTTCTCTACAATATACAAAATAACAAAACAGGTTTTTTGTGTACCTTTCTTGACAACACACTTCTCGTACTCATTCGCCGACGAGACTAGCATTAATTTGTATGCAGATGTTTGTAAATTTATTTTGAGAAATTTTATATGTTTCTGAAATTATTTTAACGATACAATGCAAAACTTTGAATAAATGAAATTCTTGATCTTGTCTTAGTGCTTTTCTTCATTGTTTGCTGTTGATTGTGATGATGGTGATTTTTTATTGTGTTATACCAATAAAATATTAAAAAAACTTAACAGTTAAACGGATGAGGTGAAGAGAAAACGTGCAGCCAATTAAAAGATATCAACAGCTAAATTAGATCATATTCATACGATAGTGACAACACTCTATGGGAATTTTGTTTGTTGAAAATATTCATTCCAGTATCTTAATTTAATAACCCATTGTATACAAGATAATTATTTTCAATCTATGAATATCTGTGTAATACGTGGTGTAAACAACACAAAATGTTAACACTTGAACGAACGCCTCTTTCTTAAGCCGCAAAATCAATAAGATTTTGTAAATTATTTGCGTACGAGCATAAATAAACACATTACGTAGTAATTGTTTGTAGATTGTTAAATTAGCGCTCTAAAGCTTTTTAAATAGTTTCTTTGCAAGTGGGCTTCAAAGCAATCAACAATTATTATATTGATTACCGACACTGCCACTTTGTATCGCACGAATCGTACGAATGAAAGAAATACATACTATAGTATTATTGTATCTGGCAAATATTGGTAGCAAAACATTGAACATGAACAATGTGTATGAGTGAGTGGGCTGGTTAACTTTGCTGCTGCCAGAAGATAAATTAACATTGAACTATTTTAAAACTTGAAAAGATTTTCCCATGGTGAATGAATTATGGTAAATCTTAATCCAAATGTGTGGCTGTTGCAACACCTGTCAATCTATATAATGTCTGTTTAATTCATATTGAATAATACATGTATATTATCAATTATTTTAAAGTTTTTTTTTCAGACATACTTATGTACATACATATGAAAACAAATGTATCCACTATGAAACATTATAATATTTCGAAACATTTCCATCAAGCATCGGTGGTTCAGTGGTAGAATGCTCGCCTGCCACGCGGGCGGCCCGGGTTCGATTCCCGGCCGATGCATATAAATTTTTTTTATTTTATTACAAAATCAAAAATATTATTTACGTTATTTAAAAAATACTATAGTATCAAATATAATTATTATATATTGTATCTATCTAATCATATATTAACTGCTTATTAATAACTTAAAAATTATGACAAATTTGTTATTGGTACAATCTATATTAAGATTTGAAAATATTAGTGCAATGGAAAAATGTGAGAAATTCAATTATCTATAAAAATTATAATTACAGATATTCGCAAAAAAAAAAACAAATTTTTGTAACCTTCGACCTGCAATATCGATATTTTGGTGACTTTGACTAATTATAGTATGGAAAAGCTATGTGCCAATTTTCATTTATCTATATAAAATTCCCCAGATTGGTAATTTTTTGACTAATTTACGAGACATTTTTTAAAGGGTTCTCATTTTCGTAATCCATTAAAAACATCTTGCCTGCATGATTGCAGGTACATATATGACATATGTATATGGTAATTAATTTTTGGATATTGATATTCTCAAAAATATAAGTTTCATTCATTGAGCTAAGAAAAACGTTTAATTTGTGAACTACAAGTATAATTTTATATTTTACTTTATACTTTAGATCATTTTAACACTCTTCCTGTTAAGATTAAAACGATTTTAGTTTCTCACATAAATTTGCTGGTTTCATCAGACAAGTAATATTGAAAATATTTGTTTTCCATCTTCCTTTATATATGCAACATTTTTTTCTTCACATGAAATTTACATCATTACTATTCACTCAACATTATTTTCGTCTTTTTATTTAATTTAATTTTATTTTCAAACAAATCCTCAGCATGTCTTAATTCGTCTTCTTTTTCATTATTTTTTTTTTTTTTATTTCAATAAAAAGTCTGAGATTGTGATTTTTTCTTCAGTAAGTATAGTAAGTTGTCTATGTGGTGTTTAAAAATTCCATGGAAAATTGCTGCAGTTACATAAGAATTTATTTATTTAAAAAATACAGTTTCTTCCAAATTACATTATTTCTCCAGTTATTTTGCACGAAATTAAATGAAAAATACAAATGCTGCAATTGTTACCCAAACATGACTTGCATTGTAAATTAGAGCCAGAGAGAGAATGTTTTACGACGATAAATTTTTTAAACGAATATATTTTTATTTTTGCACAAAAGACGTATAAAAAGTGCAATTGATTAATTAAAATAATAAAAAAGAATTTAAAAAACGAGGTACAAGCATAAATAAAATTATATCAGTCAATTACTTGACAAGGGGTAGGACAATAAATCCATTCATTTAACGTCTCACAACCATCATAGAATTACTAAATTATTGTTCAATACAATGTTATACTCCATCCCTCATTGGTTTATTTTTTGCAGTGACAACATTAAAGTTTTCTGTTATTAATTTATAATGACCTTTTGCACATACATATGCACATAAGACAAATAGATAAATTTATGAAAATTTAATGGAAAGTTCTAATGAATATGAATTTATATCCACTATAGAACTGGATTAGTTATCTGAATTATAAGGTTTCTGTTTCAGTTTCCTGCTGAACGCCTAACAAAAATATTCCTTCCATCTAAATCAATAAAATGTCGAAGATTAATTAACACACAATAATTTATTTTAATTCACGTCACAATAATTTCCGCTTAGGTAAAGCTTTTTTAATCATTTGTATTTGGCTTTAGAGTCAGTAAAAATCAAATCACATTAATTAAATAACAAAAAAGAAATATTAAAACAAATTAAAAATTGTCTTAAAAACATCACGCGTTTAATTAGCCGATAAATCTAAATTATAACGTTGACACAAGTGTAAATTTAATATCTATTCTAAGTAAAATGTGGATAAAATACAAAGAATTTTTTGTTTACGTTGTAGTGTTACCAGATATTTTTACCATGAACATACCAAAAACTAAATTTGAGTAAAAATTAAATAAAAATCTGTTTATTAGTTATGCTTAAAAAAATTTAGAATTTTCTAAGATAAATCGGAAATCTGTCAATCCAATTAAACTGAAACTACCGTAATGTGGTAACTCTGACGTTATGCTATCGTCTTAATAACAATATTATATTTTTTTCATTATCGTTTCACTTTTACGTCAATAAAGTCTGTTATAAATAAAATGTTTATAAAAAAGTTAATTAGTTGCTTTATTTTTCATTTAATACTGCGCATAAGTTTAGTACACTGTAATGGTTATATAAGTTATGGACCCGACATTAAGGGATCCGTTGGTGAGATATGGCCCAAGCCTTTGTGGCAAAGTGATACTGGACGTTATTATGGCATTGATCCCAACAACTTTGAACTTGTGGTAGGTTCATTTTAAGATTTAATTGTTCATGTTTTAAAAACAAATATTCACAGGCTGTCAACAAAAATTGTATGTTAATGCAGAAAGCTCTAGAACGTTACAGCACAATTATAAGAAATTCTGCGCAAGGTTATATACGGGCTCCCCAAACTATAGTTGTACACTACATACAACAGATTCGAGTGAATTTAACAAAGAAATGTGAAACACTGCCTCACTTAAATATGGATGAGTCATGTAGGCGTTGAAAAATATATATTTAACTTCTGCAGCAGATGTAAAAAATGTAAATAATTTTTGTTTTTTATAAATCTTGATTTTAGATTTTGTTTGGGGCGATGGACGTGTTATAGCCAATTCGGTTTGGGGTATCTTAAGAGGTTTAGAAACTCTATCACAACTCTTGGTGCCTATGCCTAATGATATTGCAAGTGTATTTTTTACAATTACATAAGTATGTTCTTTAATTTTAAAGAAAATAATTTTTAGCTACGAATACCAGAGACAGAGATTTATGATGCTCCTCGCTTTAAATATCGTGGACTGATGTTGGATTCTGCTCGTCATTACATAAGCAAATCGAAAATTTTTCAATTGTTGGAGGGCATGGCATACAACAAGTTAAATGTGTTTCATTGGCATCTTACAGATGATTCAGCTTTTCCTTTTAATTCAACTATTTTTCCTGAACTGTCTATTAAGGGTGCTTATAGACCCGAAATGACTTATTCGGAAAACGATGTAAGAGAAATAGTGGAATTTGCACGTAAAAGAGGTATTCGGGTTGTTCCAGAATTCGATACTCCTGGTGAGCGTAATAGTCATTTATCCAATTACATTTTAGAGATAATCTTTTTATACATCAATATAAATTTATACATTCTCCATTAAGCACACACGGCATCATGGGGAGCGTCACATCCGGAAATTATGACAGAATGTTTTGGAGATTATGCCGGTCAACTTGGACCTTTAAACCCAACAAAGGATACAACTTTTGAATTTCTATACGAACTATTTAGGTAAAAACGTTAAAAGACATTAAAATTTAAATATATACATATTTTAATATATTTCAATGTCAGTGAATTACGGCCATTATTCCCTGATGAATATCTACACTTGGGTGTAGATGAAGTCGATTGGGCTTGTTGGGAATCAAACCCCCAAATACAAAGTTTTTTAGTCTCAAAGGGTCTAGAGAATGTGGATTTGCCTTATATGTATCTTGAAAGATTCACAGCAAATATGTCTACTTTGGGTTGGAAACAAATGATATGGCAAGAGGTAAATTGTTTAAACTAAATTTATTTTTAAATCAGTTAGTTATATATAAAAATATTTAAAATTTCAGGGCATGACAGAAAACTTTTGGATGGAGTGGCCAGCCGGCACTATTGGACAAGTGTGGTTTGATTATAAGACAAATGCCCCACATTTGACTTCTCACAACTACGACATAGTACGTAGTCAAGATTGGTATATGTATGTATTGGATTCGGGTGGTGATTGGCAAAAATTCTATTTAATAGAGCCAACTGATTTTGAAGGCACTAAGAAACAGAAGGATCATGTTTTGGGTGGTGAAGCTTGTTTATGGTCTGAATTTATAAATGAGCATAATGTATTACCCACAACATTTCCCAGAGTAAGTGCTGTGGCTGAACGTTTATGGTCAGAAAAATCTCATCGTAATACAGACGAAGCTACTCCACGCATAGAGGAACATAATTGCCGTATGCTTTTTAGGGGTATTGATGCTAGGCCAGCCAATAGTTATGGGCTGTGTTAGAATATTTAAAATAAAATAAATCAGCATTTTAAAATTTATTTTGAAAAGTTAAAAAATATATACTAACATGTACCATTTTATATAAATCAAACTTATATCATTTTACGTTTTTTATTAGTATTAATGCAAAAATATATAAAATTAACTACGACTTACGTGTCAATGATATAATCGCCGGTTTTGGTCGTGTTGAAGATCCATTAGCTGTTTGTTGAGTTTTGGGTGGTGGACCCAAATCTGTGGGTGATATACTCAAATTACGTACATCGCGCTTTTTGGCTGCTCCTGTAAATAAACCAATAAACGAAAATGAGCATTAATAAAAAACATGAAAACTTTTTTGTTAAAGACAATTTATTTTAAAGAGAATTTTTGATGATGATAAAAAGTCATTTTCCAAAAATTGATGCAAAGGCACGCGTCTTATTCAAGTTTTAGAATTTTCTAATAAACGTTTTATAAGTATTTTAATAATATTTTAAATAAACCAACATAAGTTCATAAATCGTATACAAACTTACATACCCATTTAAGTATATGTACATTAGAGTGCTCCAAGCTTGTATGAAGGAAAAAAAAATTTATCCGACAGGCCGTCCCCCCCTCTGGAATTGTTCTATGGGTTGTAAAACTATGTCATGCAAAAAATTAGGCTGATAGGATAACGTTAACAGGTGCCGCAACGGCTCAGAAGTTTCCAAGTGCATTTACAAGGGGAAAAAATCGATTTTTTTCAGTTTTTACTCAAATTTTGCAACTTAATAATAAACTTTGCACTTTATTGTAAAGGAATCGTAATGTGCACAGAATAAGCATTTCAGAAAGATATAAAACACAAAAATTGGTTGAAAATTTTTAAAGTTATTGCAAATTCCCCAGGCCATTAACGTGTCTCACAGCACATGAATTCGAAATGTGACAAAAAAATTAAAATTTTTTAGGACATATTGCAAAAAAACCATTTGTTACTTAAAATATACTAAAAATTACTTGAATACTAGCTTTTGTCCTTATACGATAACGCAAACTTGTTCTCAGCTATGGTCAAAAAAGTTTGATTTTTTCAACGGCCGTTTCAAATCTCCAATTTCAGTTTTTTTGAAACTTTGTTAAACAAATTTTAAAATTTTTAGAAGATCTCATGGGAATTTAGACAATAGATAAGGGAATTTAGGACAATAGATAAGGGAATAAAACGGTAAAAAATTAGATCAATAATTCTTACAGTTTAGCTGTACCTGCGATTTGAACTCGGCGGATTTCGGGAAAATCGCATTTTTTTGTAATATATTAGAGAATACGTATTAATTTTTTACTGTTGTACATTTTAAACAAAGTATTTTCAGAGTATTATAGACCAGATAATATAAAATATATATTCCAAGTTTTATTCAAATCGGACATTCTTAACCCATAAAATGTGGAGTTCAAAGGTTAAATTTTGCTATATTTGGGAATTCTCAGTGCACCATATCACAGTGGGGCAGAATGGAAATTTTTTGGAAATAAATCTGGCATTTCTAAACGGCTGATCCGATCGGGATAAAATTTGGCGTGAGCGAAGCCAAGGAGTATTCGAGTTTAAGTTTTGAAGATGAACCCTGCAGATGCCCCAGGGACGGCGCTGTGGCGGCTCAAAATAGGGTACCTACGACATGTAAAATTTTTAAACTCGTGCCATTTTTTTGTTTTTCACCCAAATACAAAGATTTTTATATTTTGTGAAAGCGCTCGACGAGATCTTGAAAAAACATGCTTGGACATACTACTTATCTCTTATAATATCCGAGTTATAGGCATTTAAAAATTTAGTGATACAAAATTTACCATACCTTGATCCGCCTTTTTTTTGAATACCGGGCGTAATTTTGGACCAAATGGACTCAATTTTTTCTTGTTAGTTAGACAACAAAATTTCCAATAATATACAAAAAATTTCAGATCAATATCGTTTACAGATCCAAAAATATACGTTTTTTAATTTAAAAATTCAAAAAATTTTAGATTTTTGGCGTTTTTTTGCCAAAAATGTGTCTTAACTCTTTTATTAATAAATAAAATTTTTATTAAGAACATATAACAATTTTATAGTTTTCTAAAAGGTATCTTTACGCAGAACGCTTTGGCGTAAAAAACTTGTCCTATTTTTTGAAAATGTTGCCACTGCGTCCTTCCGAATATGACCTATCTTTTATCAAAACTTCAACTTTGGGCGACATGTTCTAAAATCCCAAAGCTGGGATCAGAAAACTGAAAGCAGTTTTGGAAACCTCAATATGTTTTCTATTTACTCCAAAAGTATTTTCCCAGCCCTGAAAGAAATGTGGACCCTATGGGCAAAAAAGTAAAAAATCCCATTTTTGGGATTTTCATTCCTATTTTTGGGAATTGCGGGATGCCCTTTGACCTTTTCAATTTTTTTTTGCATTGAAAATTTCATTGAAAATTTCGTTGAAAATTTCATTGAGTTTTGTTCATAAATAAAGATTTTGTCATATATTACATATTTGTTTAATTTCTAAAACTATGATTTATATCAAAATTTTAATAGGATCGCAGATAGCTACAACAATTTAGTCCATATTTATCCCTTAATATCATTTTTTAGTTAGATATGGAAATTCTCGACCCTTTACAAAAAATTTCAAGCCAATATCTCAATTACATTCAAAAATATGTTCATTTAAACCTGTGTCCTTTAATTTCATCTTTTTCATATTTTAGTATTAAGTATGACAGCACATATTTAAATCTTATATTTACCTATTTTCTATTTGTTTGCTTATCCTTATAATTGAAAGGTCCTATTATGCTTGAATTTTCAAAAATTTATAACCATTTTTTACCTAAATTTTTTCGACAGATCATTTCGTTCTGTTTCGTTTATGATCATGTAGGTAAAAATATACAGGTAATGATAATTTCGATTCATTCACTAATAAGAAATATCAATGACTGAATTACAGGTTATAGTAATATAGTCCTAAATGTTAATAGGTAGACAATTCGTAATTTTTTACTTTGGAATAGCTGTATCGGAAATGACAAGAATTGGTATATAAGTAAACTTCTCAGATTTTAAGTACCATATTTAATAAATCTACAATGAAGATTACATTAAAGTACGAAGAGTTGTGTTCCGTTTTATGGAGTATATCTTCAAAAGGGCCAGAAAGAATTGAAGACATTTCAAATTATATAAAAACTACATATAGTAGAAAAGTAGACAAAACAGGCATATCAAAAATTGAAAACTTTTTGATGTAAAAAGTAAGTCTGTGGATGCACAGTGGGGCAGAATGGAAATTTTTTGGAAATAAATCTGGCATTTCTAAACGGCTGATCCGATCGGGATGAAATTTTGCGTGAGCGTAGCCAAGGAGTATTCGAGTTTAAGTTTTGAAGATGAACCCTGCAGATGCCCCAGGGACGGCGCTGTGGCGGCTCAAAGTAGGGTACCTACGACATGTAAAATTTTTAAACTCGTGCCATTTTTTTGTTTTTCACCCAAATACAAAGATTTTTATATTTTGTGAAAGCGCTCGACGAGATCTTAAAGAAACATGCTTGGACATACTACTTATCTCTTATAATATCCGAGTTATAGGCATTTAAAAATTTAGTGATACAAAATTTACCATACCTTGGTCCGCCTTTTTTTGAATACCGGGCGTAATTTTGGACCAAATGGACTCAATTTTTTCCTGTTAGTTAGACAACAAAATTTCCAATAATATACAAAAAATTTCAGATCAATATCATTTATAGATCCAAAAATATACGTTTTTTAATTTATAAATTCAAAAAATTTTAGATTTTTGCCGTTTTTTTGTCCAAAATGTGTCATAACTCTTTTATTAATAAAATAAAATTTTCTTTAAGAACATATAACAATTTTATAGTTTTCTAAAAGGTATCTTTACGCAGAACGCTTTGGCGTAAAAAACTTGTCCTATTTTTTGAAAATGTTGCCACTGCGTCCTTCCGAATATGACCTATTTTTTATCAAAACTTCAACTTTGGGCGACATGTTCTAAAATCCCAAAGCTGGGATCAGAAAACTGAAAGCAGTTTTGGAAACCTCAATATGTTTTCTATTTACTCCAAAAGTATTTTCCCAGCCCTGAAAGAAATGTGGACCCTATGGGCAAAAAAGTAAAAAATCCCATTTTTCGGATTTTCATTCCTATTTTTGGGAATTGCGGGATGCCCTTTGACCTTTTCAATTTTTTTTTGCATATTCTTATTTGAAATGACAAATTTAACAAGCGTTGAAAATTTCATTGAGTTTTGTTCATAAATAAAGATTTTGTCATATATTACATATTTGTTTAATTTCTAAAACTATGATTTATATCAAAATTTTAATAGGATCGCAGATAGCTACAACAATTTAGTCCATATTTATCCCTTAATATCATTTTTTAGTTAGATATGGAAATTCTCGACCCTTTACAAAAAATTTCAAGTCAATATCTCAATTACATTCAAAAATATGTTCATTTAAACCTGTGTCCTTTAATTTCATCTTTTTCATATTTTAGTATTAAGTATGACAGAACATACATTTGGTGTTGAATAAAATATTTGGACAATTTTTAAAAATTATTTAGTTAATTATTTTATTATAATATTGTATATAAAATAAAAAAATTATAATTTTATTATGAGCCACGCACAACAACACCTAAATCACCCCACACAAATTACCTTTCCCGCCCACCGAAATATAAAACACAATTTAATACAATATCATCAGTTAGTATAATAGCTTTTTTTATTTGAACTGTTTATCTTAAACATAATACAATTAATTCTTACAACCTACTTATATAGTTAATTCCTAACACTACTTATTTTCTATAAAATAATCTGTCATATCGGTATACATATCCAGAAGGTAATATAAGTCCTTTAAATCTTCCTTGTTTTGAGATGATAGAGTTTCATAACAAATCCATCTTTTTCGCATAGTTGAAAGAACAGGATCAGAAGATAGAAGTAAACTATTAAAAATATCTTCATTCTGTGATTGCCTGGAGCATTTTCTTGAGCTGAATAGTTGAACATGCTTAAAATCTCGATTCCTCGCTTCCTGGGCTTCTTCTGTTAACTCTCCAAGTGGAAGAATATTCGATTCAATTATTATTTGACCATGACACAATACTTTGTGTACTGTTGGTGTTAGTTCCCTCCATGGATACAGAGATACAAGTAATTTAGAAATTTCAGATGTGTATTCCCCAAATCGATTTTCATTAATTTTATGTTTACTATTCAGTGCC